GGCAGTGGTCACACACCTCCCGGACCTCAGCTCCTACCAGGTCACCCCTCCTCCAGGGCTCTCACTAGGGCCTGTAACACAAATTCCCCTGCTTGCCCCTTCATCCCTAGAGTGTTGAATGGCTCTCCAGTATTGCTAGTGTCTGGCTGCCTCAACGTTCCTTGTTTGTTCCTATGACTCTGGCCAATATCTTCACGTGGTCCTCTCAGTAAAGTGCCTTCGCGAGAACCATCTGCAGTGAATTGTTTCCAGCTGGCATCTGACTAATGTAGTAAAACCTTTCTTGGTATATGCGTTTGCATTTCAGCAACTTTTCTCATAATCCCTTTGCCTGAAATCCCTTTCCTCCCACCTCCATGTCTAGCTGTCCTTCAAGGCCCTCTCAAACACCACTGCTCCCGAGTAGCCTCCCTAATCCCCACACCATGGAAATCTCTTCTCTCCTTGAACTCACTCAGCACGTACTTGAGAGTGATTATCTTTCTCTGCTTTAAATTATAGTGACTTATGTACATGCAACTCTGGCCAGTTTGTAAATTCTTTGAAGTCTGAACCCACACCCAGGTCTGGTTTGTTTTTGTTTTTCTCCCACTCCTTTGGGTTCTTCCCTGAACTTTGCCTCTTTCCCAAAAAACACCTGAAACAAGGCTTGGTACCAAATGGCTGTTCTATCATTTTTTTAAAAATACTTTCATTGCTACTTATTGCTGCTTCTTATTGTATTATAGTAGATATCAGTTACTGATTTATCACAAAGTATGATTTGCAAAAAATTATGAAAATTATGGCACAGACTAAAATTTCCCATTGGTGATAATGCATTTAAAATATGCAATCGTCATTCACTTCTGATATATATGTATGTATGTATGCATGCGTGTGTGTGTGTATGTATATATATATATATATATATATATATATATATATATATATAAAGGAATTTTATTTTTATTTAAAAGTTTCCAGGTGATAAACCTGGTTTTCTTTCAATATTTTTGGGGGGGTATCAAAGAAAAAAATTAACATGGGGCAAATACTCATTTGTAACTGAGGCTATCTCCAACTTGGAATCAGAGTTATAGAGTTATCTTCTAATCTGGTCTTTTTAAGCTCTATTCTGAGAAACTCTAAAGGGTCTTTCCAGGAGTGGGTATAGATTGAGAAGTCCTCAGGAGGCTTTCACTGGAAGAAAGGGTTCCAGTCTTTAAAAAGAGTGAGAACAGCCCTAACCGTTTGGCTCAGTGGATAGAGCATCAGTCTGTGGACTGAAGGGTCCCAGGTTTGATTTCAGTCAAGGGCATGTACCTTAGTTGCGGGCACATCCCCAGTAGGGGGTGTACAGAAGGCAGCTGATTGATGTTTCTCTCTCATCGATGTTTCTAGTTCTCTATCCCTCTCCCTTCCTCTCTGTAAAAAAAATCAATAAAATATATTGAGAACAATTTCTCTAATCTCACCTCCCACTCCAAACATCCACACAATGTCCCTCTGTTTAGTGGCTAAGTCTCTGCTTAAACATCACTAACTGGAAATTTACTCACTACATAATACAATTATACAGTATGTTTTTAAACAACCCTAACTTTGGAATGTTCTATCTTATATTTGGCTGCAATCTGGCTACTCATTATTCTCTTACTTGAATCAATAAAGAATATATCCAAATGCACTTCCTCAAAATGGCAGTACTCTGATGGTAATCATATTGCCACAAATCTCTCTTTAGGCTAAAATCCCCTTTCCTTACAATGGTCTTCATAGAATATGTTTGAAACACCCACTTTGGTCACATGTTATTTGTCAAAATCCCTCTTAAAACATGATGGCTAGAACTGAAAATAATTTTCCTGATGTATATTGATAAGGGCACAATAGAGTGATATGATTACCTTTATTTTGGGTATTTAAAAGCCCTGTTACAAGTACTGCAAGTATCTAGTCTGGCATGTAAGGAGCTTATAAGTTGCCACTCTATTCTAAGGAAAAAGCTGAAAAAGAAGTCTTCTGGGATGCAAAAGAGAAGGGAAACCACAGCACAAACAGCTGCCTCAAAAATTGGAGAGACAGGTGAGTACAGAGAATCGCAACATTGCAGAGCTGAAATCACTGCAGAATCAACACTGGGGTAAGGAAACCTGAGCTGTAATTGTTATGTAATAAGATAAGAAAAGGAAATAAAAAGTATACACATTGGGAAGAATAAAAAACCCGTCTTTACATATGGCATGATTATCTATGTAGAAAATTCAAAACAATTGACCAAAACACTCCTGGAACTAATAAGTGATTACAGCAAGATTGCAGATATAAGGTTAATATATAAGTTAATCACTTTCCTATATAACAGCAATGAACAAGTGGAATTTGAAACTAAAACTCTTTACTATTTATATTAGCACACCCAAAAATGAAATACTTAAGTATAAATCTAACAAAATATGTACAAGATCTACATGAAGAAAACTATAAAACCCTGATGAAAGATATCAAAGAAGTACATAAATGAAGAGGTATTCTATGTTCATGAATTGGGAAGACTCAATATAATAAAGATGCTAGTGTTTCTAACTTGGTCTATAGATTTTACATAATACTTATCAAAATCACAGCAAGTTATTTTGTGGATATTAACACTCTTGTTCTAAAGTTTACAGGGAGAAGCAAAAGACCCAGAATAACCAACTCAATATCGAATGAAGAGTACAAAGTCAGAGAACTAACACTAAGCAACTTTAAGATTTACTATAAAGTTACAGCAATCAAAACAGTATGATATTCACAAAAGAATAGATACCTTGATGGAACAGAACAAAGAGCATAGAAACAGACCCACACAAATATAGCTGATTTTTTACAAAGAAGCAAAGCAAATATGATGGAGCATAGATAGTACTTTCCCAGAAGTACTTTTCAAAGACTTGCTTATACTTCATTGAGTACCCCACTCTAGAAGGGAGGCTGGGAAATGTAGTTTTACAGTTGGGCATATTGCCATACTCAACACTGTAGGTGTTCTTTTATTAAATTAGAAGGGCGGAATGGATATTAGGTATAAACCTAGCAATATCACTTCTTAGGTGTATTTTTTTTTTCTTTTGCTAAATTTTAAAAAAATTGAGGCATAGTTGACATATAACATTGTATTAGTTTCAGGTGTGCAACACAATGACTTGATATTTGTATCTGCTTCTTAATCTTATATGTAATACTAGGAATTATTTTTAAGTCACTTTTCCACCTTATACTGGTATAGCTGATTTCCTCCCCTCTTATAAAACTAATTACATACCTCATACTCATCTTTTTAAATTGCAGTATAGCATAAGATCTTTTTGAATCTTAATTTGGGCATCAATAGAGTAAGCTATCCCTTCTACCTTTAGGATATCTGAAAATTATAAAATTATGCCAAGATCCTGATAGAAGAGACCACCTTTGAAGTTAATGTCAGCAGAATGGAATGCATAACATCCAAGCTATATTTCTTCATCTTTTCACAAGGATGTCATAAAAATTTTTATCAAATGCTTACTTAATTCCAGGTGTTCTTATCTATATATCTATCTATATCTATATATCTATGTCTATGTCTATTTGTATCTATCTATCTATCTATCTATCTATCATCTATCATCTATCTAGATATATGCCATAGGAAACAATGGAACACTAGAATATTCACTGACCTGAAAAAATATTCATGAGGCATTTTTTACACAAAAATAGACATGCTTAGAGAGAGGAAAGGAGGGAGGAAGGAAGGGAGGGAGAGAGGGAGGGGGAGGGAGAGAGGGAGAGAGAAACATCTAAGCCATTTCGGACAGGTTACAATGCATTTTATATTACATTTTGATAAGAAAAAAAGATAATAAAGATAACTGATTTTAATATATTTTATTGATTTTCTACAGAGAGGAAGGGAGAGGGATAGAGAGTTAGAAACATTGATGAGAGAGAAACATCGATCAGCTGCCTCCAGCACACCTCCCGCTGGGGATGTGCCCGCAACCCAGGTACATGCCCTTGACCAGAATCGAACCTGGGACCTTTCAGTCCGCAGGCCGATGCTCTATCCACTGAGCCAAACCAGTTAGGGCAAGATAACTGATTTTAAAAAGAGAAATTCTCCTAGAAGCATTGCAGAGAGTGGATTTTTTAAATGTAAGACTGAAGGCTAGGAAACTAGGAAGAAAGACATTGCAGTTATCTAAATGAGAAATGGAGAGAGCTCTAAAGCAGTGACAGTGGAGGTGGAGAGCAGACAGATTCAAGAAATAGTTAGAAGGCAGAAGTGGAAGGACTTGGTGATCATTTGAGGTGGAAAGAGAATGAGGATCTAGAGTGAATCCCAGGTAAGAGTGGTTTCTAGTGAATCAAAGCACCCATTTGAGTTATTAATTTGGCTGAGGTAAAAGGAGAGAGAGAGAGAGAGAGAGAGAGAGAGAGAGAGAGAGAGAGAGAGAGAGAGAGAGATTTTACTCATAAATCTGTAATTAGGGCAGGACTTAGCAAGAGTCTCTCCACTCTGATCCACTTCGCATCAGCTTGGGAGTGGTTTAGAGGTAGGGATTTGGGGGACCCGGAATTATCTGAATGTGTGACCTCTCCCTATGTGTTTCCAGCATGGTGGCTTAAGGAATTCTGAGGTATTGAGATAGGTAGAGGCAGATGATAGGTGACAGATAAATAGGTGATAGATAGATTATAGATCAAGAAGAGAAAGGGAGAGAAGGACAGAGGAAAGGTGGAAAGCATTGCAAGGTGACATGTTTTCATGCTGGCCATTGCTTCACTACGAGCCCAAAGAGACACAGTGAGAGGCTTGGTGGGTGGGTGTGGTGCAACGACTTGGGACATCTCCAGAAAAATGATATATGTAATTTGTTTTTTGGAAGCAGTCCATTAGATGGAGAAAGGAGGGGAACTTTATTGACCAGATCCCTCTTGTATCAGTTTTCTATTACTGTATAACAAAATTACCACAAACTCTATGACTTAAATACCATTAAAATATCCATTTATTAGCTCACAGGTTTGTGATTCAGAGTATGGCATGGCTGGGGCCTCAGCTGGGGGTATGGTGAGGCCGAAATCAAGGTATTGCCCCAACTGAGTGTTCTTCTGGATGCTCTGGGGAAGACTCCACTTTTCAAGCTTATTCTTGTCAGCAGAATTCTGTTCCTGTGGTTCTAAAAAGAAGGTCCGGTTTCCTTCTTGGCTGTTACCTGGGGCTTCCTTCAGCTCCTATAGGCTGCCCACATCCTTTGCCATGACTCCTCTCTATCTTCATACCAATAATGGTGAATCAAATCCTCTTGAGCTCCAAATCTTTTTAACTTCTTCCCCTAAAACCAGCTACAGAAAACCCTTTGCTTTAAAAGTATAGATAGGATTAGGTCAAGCTCACCTGGGTAATTTTATTATCTTAAGGTCAACTGAAACATAGCCTGACGACAGGAGTAAAATCCATTATATGGTGTAGTCCCAGGGAATATGCATATCACGTATACCAGCCGGGCGGGAAATCTTAGGGGCCATTCTGCCTACCACCCCTCCCATCCCTAAATCTGATGTAAAAGCCCATGTTCCTCCTGTCTTCAAAGCTGCTTGATAGTATATTAGACCAAGGTTGTTTGGGGCTGACAGTATAATGTCAACAGATGCGAGACAGAAATGAAATCATTCCACTTTGGTTCTGCTTCCATGACTTCCATCCAGAAGAATGTCCTGTGAATTCTAGCACATTGTGGGTACTCAATAAATATTTGCTGAATGAACTATGGATTGGATAGAGGAGAATAAATATTTGTAATAGTAGATTAAAGGTTTAACCTAAGAGGTAAATAGATTTTAAATGATTACCTCACTGTTTCAAAAGAGATTCTTTCCAGTTCTGAATGAATTACATTCCTGAGTCCTGAGAGAAAAATAGGTGAGATTATTGCAAAACCAACTCAATCTCTCTTTGTTGAATAAGTGAGTGGACAAATTCATTTTGTTTGGTGATCTGCCTGTGGGACCAGAAAGCTTATTCTCCACACCTCTCTCATTACCAACCATCAGAATATTAACTTGACAGCATATATTCTTTCTTGGTGATACTGTAGGAAAGCTCTTAGAGATGATCTCTCCTACAGCTCATTAAATACAAAGCATATTTAAAAGATACAATCTCTAAAACGGTGAGCTTGAGCAGTACAAGTGAATTCATGTTAAAGCACCGGAAATATTTTTCAGAAATATATATTTACCTTATACTATACTGAGCTTCTATATACTATACATTCACACATGTATTTTTGTATGTGCTATGCATTGTTCCATAAATGTTAGTTATAGTTTTTCTATGGCCCTATATAGATTCACTTTCAAAAATCTGGTTATAATAAACCTGTTTAATTACATATAAAACACATCCATCCAAGATTAATTCAATCAATTTTAATCTGAGAGAATTCTTATTCTTTAATTTATGAATATATTTATGTATAAATATAATGTAATAAATTGTAGTGTGAGAACTTCAACCACTTCATCACAGATACATCTTCCTTTAGTCCAAATAATTTTGAGGATATTTTAACATATGTAATGCTTTTCTCATCCTGTGGAACATTTGTAAAATGGTAACTTAGTAAGAGTAATTTTGTCATAGCAATCAATTAGTAAGTACCAAAAGTCTATTATGAATGGCATTAGAAATACTACCTATTTCAATGGAACTTATGTGCAATCTATACTAATAAAAGGGTAATATGCTAATTAGACTGGGAGACCTTCCAGGAGACCTTTTGGACATCCTTCTAGTCTAGACAAAGCCATGGTGGCAGGGCCGAGGCAGAGGCAGTTAGGGGCGATCAGGCCAGGAGGGGAGGGCAGTTGGGGGCGATCAGGCTGGCAGTGGGGGGGGGCAGTTGGGGGCGAGCAGGCCAGTGGGGGGGCAGTTGGGGGCGAGCAGGCCGGCAGGCAGAGTGGTTAGGGGTGATCAGGCAGGCAGGCAGGCAGGTGAGCAGTTAGGAGCCAGCAGTCCCGGATTGTGAGAAGGATGTCCGACTGCTGGTTTATGGGCCTAAACCAGCAGTTGGATATCCCCCGAGGGGTCCTAGATTGGAGAGGGTGCAGGCTGGATTGAGGGACACCAACCCCCATGCATGAATTTCATGCACTAGGCCACTAGTTTACATATAAACAGGACACAGAGAACAAGGTAGTATATACATGCCTTTTAGAGATGAGGACCTGGAGATACAGAGATGATAAATGATTGACCAAAGGCTGCAGAGCTGGTTTAGTGAAGTCATGAGGAACCCAGGTCTCACAACTATCTAATTCAGCGTCATTGATACATGTTACACTACAACCCACACTAAGAAATATACTTCACATACATGTATTCCTCTGATTCATGGTGCTATTGATTATAAAATACATCAGTATTACATATACCACTAAAATGGAAAAGACACTGTCTAGTAAGTGATAACGCAGTGCTAAGATACACTGCACTCTAAGATGCATCCCAGTTTCCAAAGTGTAAAAAGGTGAAAAAAAGCATCTGAATACAACTTTTACACACACATGTAAAACAGAACTTCTACATGTGATATTATCTACTGCATTCATTTTATTGTTTCTAAATGATGTTATGAGTCCACTGAGCTCACTTTACCACCGACTAATGAGGAGACCCAATCTAAACACTAAATCATGTATTGCAGATAATAAGAAATCTTTAACATACACAACCAAGGTGCTAACTGTTCAGTTTGATAGTAAGTGCAGAAGAAGAAGAAAAATAGTTTTATGTGGATAAAAACCACCTGGAAAGTTTTCAAATTAGAAATAAGAGTTTAGCCCTGAAATATGTTGAGATACAGAAGTGGAAGTGAACAACTGAGCAACTTAAAAACCAAAACCTCAAATGTAAAAAAAAAAAATCCATTCTTTAAATGAAAATACAACCATTTAACTTAAGATATATAAAACTTAAAAGATGAAAACAAATTTGAATATCTTCCTTACAGAAAATACACAGAAACCTGAAAAAATTAAATAGAAAACTATTTAGACAAAACTTGGTGCAATATTTCCCCCCTATTCTTGTTATAAATTCAAAAGGGGTTAAACAGTCTGATAGCTGACAAGAGCCTGAAAACAAGTGCCTGGACAGTCTCCCAACCCCAATTCTTCGATGCTTTTCTTAGTCAAGGATTAATAATAAAAAAATAATAACATTTTGGAATCCCCCTCCTTGCAGGCCTTTGTGATATTAAAAAATCAAACAAACAAAGAAAAAAAAAAAAACCAAGGGTATAATGTACCCAGTATAAAAGTTGCTGGCTGAAATCAATGATCCCTTTCACAGTGGCTCTCGGAACTGTATCTATAGTCCCTGCAAAAAGGAAGCAAACAAAAACATACCCAGAAGCCCATTTAGCATGTGTATGTAAAATGTGCACACCCCGGTGCGAATGTAATCCCATGAAAAAAGCGTGCAAACTTGGCAGTTAGGCAATGTCACTGCAATAGTTAGCACTCGAAATTTCAAACCCTTTGATGAAGATACCATCTTTCAGCCCAGCCCTGGCAGAAAACCTTTGATTCCTGTTAGACCCTCCCTCCCCAGTCAGCTGCTGGGCTCCATCCGGAGGGACGGGGGCTCTCCCTCTCTATCACAGCTAAGCGTTCCCAGACCCAGGAGAAACCCTGGGTTTCTGCAGGGCACTCAACGTGCAGCTAAGCGTCCCAGCTCTGCAAAGGGCAGCTGGAAATGGATTTAAAATGGCAACGCGGACCAATCAGCGCTGCCTCGCCGCAGCAGACATTTAAGCGCACCTCCTCCACAAGCTCAGCGGAACCTGGCTATGCCTAACTCCCTGCTAGGGCTGTGAAGTAGGCGTTTTTATTCCACGGTGGTCTGTACTTTTTTTTTCGGGGAGGGGGGGAAATTCTTCCTCGGGTGAAAGTTTTTATTTTGGAATTAATCCAAAATAATTTTAGGTTTGATGTGTGAAAATCTAAACCTATTTTGTTGTTGTTGTTATTCAAGGATGAAAAGAGGCACATTTTAAAATGTACTCCACCTTTTTTAAGCTGGCCTTAGGTCATTATGTTCACATAACTCTGAAACAGATTAAGCTATAAAATTAGGACTTAGCAGAAAGGGAGTTCCTAAGGAGAAGGTGAAATCGGGGTAAAATGAAGGGAGAGTTGGACAGTTGGCACAATTGTGATGTTAGGAAGCAGAGGAGGTCCTCGCTTGGGGTAAACCCTCCACCCTACTAGCGTCCGAACCCCGTGTGTAGCGCCACCGGGTAGGGCGGTGGGAGACTTCGCGTTGCCTCTCCTCTTTCCGGGAGAAAAAATTTCAATGAAGAGACTGGCGCGCTCGGCGGGCGTGTGTGCACTTTGTTTGCATGTGTGCATGTATCTGCTAATGTGCAGATATACATCTGCGTGCATGTGTGCATGCAAGTTCACACATGTTTACGTGTGTTTATGCATGCACGTGTCTGTGCAAGTGTGCATATGTATCTCCGTGCACGCATGTATCTGCGTGCATATCTGTGTGTTTGTGTGTGCACGCTCGCGTCGGGTCCTGCGATCTGTGATGAGGGCATTTCCAAGCAGAGCAGGGCTGCCAGGGGCCAGCTCCTACTCCTCTTCAGTTCCTTGTCACTCACAGGGACCAAGGACTCTGCGGCGCGCGCAGCTAAACTCTTCCGGCAGAGTGTTGGCTCCGCATCGTGGAGGTGCAGGTAAAGGCCAAGCCCCTAAATGGCTCTTGGGCAGTCACATTCCCGCGCCTTCCTTGGACAACCGCCCAGGGGCGACCTCGGGCGGCGGGAGGGGCGAGGCCAGCGGCGAGCCGGCTCTGGATCGCTGGCCTGTCCCTTTAACCTCGCCGCCGGGCGGGAGCACGTGAGCGCTGCTCCGGGTGGCACCCGGGCGCCGCCGCCGCCGGGGCAGTTGTATTTAGAACGCTGCCTCTGGCCCACGGCCAGGCGCCTCGGCTCGGCGGTCCGCCTGGCCTCCCTCCTCCTCTTGCTTTTCCTCCTGCGCAGCCCCCTCCCCTTTATCCGCCCACTATTAGAGGTGGGCACTACCCCCACCCCTATCCCACCGCCCCCTCCCCAAGCGCGCGCGCGCGCGCGCGCACACACACACACACACACACACACTCACACTCATCCTACTTGAATCCTGGGGCAGGAACTCAGAAAACTTCCAGCCTGGGCAGAGCGCACTTGGTGCAGACGCAGGAGCGAGCAGCCGGTCCCCCTCCAACTCTCCGGTGCCGCTGCCGCCGGCTCTCGCCTCCCGAGGAGGCGCGGTGCCACCCGCTTCTCACCCCTCCTCTGCGCTCAGTGCCCGACCCGGTCCCGGCACAATCTCCCCATCCTCCTTGGCTTTCCGACGGCCCAAGGCGCTATTTGTTTTCTCTCTCTTTTTCTTGCTCTGCGAGCGCGGAGCGGGGGGGAAGAGGAGGAGGAATTCTTTCCCCGCCTAACATTTCAAGGGACACAATTCACTCCAAGTCTCTTCCCTTTCCAAGCTGTTGCCGAAGTGCTCCCGGTGATCGCGACTCCTGCTCCCAAACCGAAAGGGGAGCCTCCCAACTTCAAACCCTCTTTTCCTTCTCCCTCGCTTTCCTCCTCCTCTCGCTACCTCCACCTTCACCTCTACCGCCACCTCCACCTCCGGCACCCACCCACCGCTGCCGCCGCCACCGGCTGCGCCTCCTTCTCTCCTCCTCCTCCTCCCCTCTTCTCTCTTTTGGCAGCCGCTGGACGTCCGGTGTTGATGGTGGCAGCGGCGGCAGCTTAAACAGCAGCCCTCGCAGCACGCCGGCGTTCGCTCCCTCTGCCGCCTTCTCCAGCCCGATCGGCTACTCTCCCGAAAGGTGCGGGGCCGATTGGGGGCAGCTGAGGCGAAGCGGCTGCAGCGGCGGTAGCGGCGGAGGCGGCGGGAGGCAGGATGAGCGCACGCGGGGAAGGCGCCGGGCAGCCGTCCACTTCAGCCCAGGGACAACCTGCCGCCCCCGCGCCCCAGAAGAGAGGACGCGGCCGACCCAGGAAGCAGCAGCAAGTCAGTACCCCGGCGGGGTGGGAGCCCCAGCCCACCTTCGCTCCCTCTGCGCGGGCCCCGCGACGCGCGGCCACTCGAACGCACGAGTCCAGTCGCCACGGCCGCCACGCGCTGCCCGCCGGCCGGGGGAGGGCTGCGGTCTCCCGTGCGCGGCTGAGCCAGGGACGCCCGCGCCCCTCCGGGCGGGGAGGCGGGGAGCCGGGCCGGGCGGCGGGAGGTGGGGTCGGGGGCAGCGCGTCCTCGGACTTTCGCTATTGTGCACCGCCCGGAGTGTAGCGGGGGCTCCTGGCGACTGGAAGCGGCCGGGGTCCGACCTTCCAGGGCTCGCGGACGCTTTCCTCACCGCTTTACAGTTGCCCCAGGGGAAGGAAGTGCGGGGGGCTAGGATGCTTTGGAGGGGCTGGAGTCCCGGGGGCCGTTCGTGGGCTCTTTCTCCCGCCATCCCGGGCTGCTAGCGGGCCCGGGTCTGCAACGCCGCAGCCGCCCCTTTGGCGCCTTCCCCAAGTGCTTGGTGGCCGGCGACTCGCGCCCTCCCGACAAAGAACGCGTGGGCCGCCCGGTCCTCTCTCTGCTCTTTAAATGCGGCGGCGCCGCCGAGGTGTCCCGGGGAAGGGGCTACCGGAGAGTCTGGGTCCGCAAGGGACGGGATTAGCTCGTTTGGCCAAGGGCGCGAAGGAAAGTAATGTCCGAGAGGGTGCACCGTAGCTAGGGTCACTTCCTCGCCCGGCGCCCGGTCTCCCTTTTGCCCCTATATCCCGCGCCTCAGAGCTTCAGACATTAAATGTGTTACTACAGGGCGATTGGCTGGGGGGTTGGGAGGGGAAGATCGAGGGGCGCCCGGGACCCCGCGGAGTGGAGGGTTTTGTCTGCGGATGCAACCAATTAAGCGTGCAGCCGGCGCTTGCAAGGCTGCGCGCAGCGCCCAGGGCGGGGGGGTTTTGTTCGCTGCAATTTCCCAGCCTTGGCGGGCAGGGCTGGAGCGGGACATGTCCATTGAGAACATTTAAACTTCGCTTCCGCGGGCTTTTAAAACTTATTCATTCCGTAGCCTTAAAGAGCTTCCTTCATGGCAAGTAGGCTGGTTAGAAAATTATCCTAGAGTCCCAAAGCCGCCCGAGAGAGAGCACGGTGGCGGTATCGAACAATGTTTGCTTGCCAGCGCGTTTTAGGAAAACGGAGAGGGTTGTACCTTTTTGAAATCATCAAAGGAAACAAGCCCCCGAGAGGCCCCCGAGTTTTCCCGCTCTGCCCAGGCGACACTTTATACCGCGTTCGGGCCGTGTTTTACACCTCCCAGCTAGTCCCTGCCTGCCCCCCCCCCGCCCTTGTTTCCCACCCGCCACCCAGCTCTCTCTAGCCCTTGTAATTCCCTCCCGCCTCCAAAAAATAATGGAAAAGAAATTGCAGTGGGGTCTGGAGGTGATTGGAGGTTTTACCTTTGAGATGAGGCTGAGTTCACAAAGAAAGGAAAATGTGTCTCCGATGTGTTTGCTCCGGATGTGCCCACTGGCGCTAGTGGTCCCACGGAAGCTGTGAGTAACCTTCCCCAGGTTCTCTCAGTAGGATGCGAATTTTCATTGGAGACTTTCATGAGTTTTAAGTTAATTAGTCTCATTTAATCACCGAATCTGAATGAAATGTAATTTGATGATTCACTGGATAAATATTTAGGAACTGGAATATTAATCATCACATTCTCTTAACCACTTGAGTATTTGCCACTTGGCATAGAAGCCATTTAAAGTTTTGGTAAACCTATTGATAGTTTCAATTTCTCCTTCCCAGACACTTCCATTCCTCCTTATCCCCCCCCCCCCCTTTATTTTTCTCCAGTTCACCCCCATAGCAGTTTCCTCAAAAGAAAGTTTTGGGGAGTTTGTTCCTTTTTATCAAAAGATATTTAAATTTAGACTAGAGACCATGCCTGAATCTCCAAAAGGAAGTGGAGAATTGAAGCAATTATCTAGATAATTCAAGCAAAACCTCCCACAACAGATTTAACATAATTATTTGGGAATTTTAAGGGGGAATGGAGTTGTTTTGAGTTGAAGAACTTGGATAATTGCTCCAATATTTCACTCAATGTGTTGACTACAATGCAGATGTATAGAGATGATTAAAAACCATCTTTCAGTAGGGAAGATTGCTGAAATATTTATGATGTTAGCTTTGTATTTCTGTTTGAAATGCTAGTGCAATGGCTAGTACTATTTGTGTAAAATGCTTATGGCTGAGTTGCCAAATGCATAACCATGCAACTTTTTCACCTTAATGTATGACTTTTTTTCTAGAACATGCAAACTTGTCATCCTTTGTTACCTTGGTAGGGTTGGAATAGAATCTAGTTTTCATATGTAAAATAACCATTTCCTCTTTGAGCCCTTGGATTAAAAAGATCGTTATTGCCCCTTTCTGAAAACTCTGAGCCATCATTCCTATTTATGCTTGAACTGAATGTGTCCCAACAGTTCAGTGGAGCAGCACATGCAGAAAATGTAACTATAGAGTCAGGGTCAGTTTCTTGCAGACATCCTTGCCACAACAACGTGTTTGTTTTTTCTCTCCACAATTAGGAGCCAACTGGTGAGCCCTCTCCTAAGAGACCCAGGGGAAGACCCAAAGGCAGCAAAAACAAGAGTCCCTCCAAAGCAGCTCAGAAGGTGAGATTTCTCAAGTCAAGGCTTCCCAACTTCCTCAACTCCCACAGGAACCTCCGTGTGATTTTCCCACCCTAGACCCACACTTAAGGGTTTGTCTTAACTGGTTAACCCAAGACTCATTTCCAACCCTTGATATGAATAAGATTTCTAAGCAAATGCTTAGCATAAAAAGTTCATGAAGAGGCTTCAGTGTTGTTTGTAAACAACCACCAAATAATAGGAAACTTAAACTGGGGCTGGGAGGGGGAGGAGGGGGAGTGGTGAGTGACAAGTTTAAGATTTGGGCCAGTTGTGAAATAGTTAAATACAAATCAAAGCTATAGGTTTTTAAATTTTCTTTAAAAATAATAAAGATTAATTTCCTTTGTGCTTATTTACAAGACTACTGAAAAACCAAATTCCCCTATTAAAGTTAAGTACTTTATCAAATAAATGATAATTAGAAGTAAATCCAATTATGAAATACTGGAAAAAATTATGACTTTTACGGCTTTAAATTTGATGATAAAGTATACTGTTTGCTTATAATTAGCTTGCAATACATTATAATCTCTCAAGAAGCCTTTCCATCAGGTAATATAGAAATGCACTAAATGGAACAATGAGAAGTTTTCTAAACAAATATTTGACTCACTGTATTATTTTGGGCAGGATCGAATCCAGTCAAGTATAATTTCCCGTGTTACTCTTTATGAACTTTAAATTGTAGTGTAAAATAACTTATGTTGCTTTTATTTGAGCTAGAAAAGAGGAAATATCTCAGGGTCAATGCATATATAGAGGGTAACTATACAATTTACATGTTTTAGCCTTATAAGTAAATCTGAAAAAAAAATTCTGTATTTTATCTATAGGTTTGTATACTAGTTAAAAACGAAGGTTCAAAATTCAGGAGTACATTTGAGTATGCCATGTACAGTATTTATTAGAAAGGACTATGTGATCATCTTTTGGGGATTAATGTTTTATGTGGTTTTCTCTGATTATGGGCACTTACCATATTATATGTGATGGTTTTCATGTAAACTGTCATAGCAACCAGTGATACATATAAAGTTATTTAGTGTATAGCTATGATTTTTTTGTCTGTTTTATTTTAATAGTCTTAAACAGAGTTGAAGGAGCAGGTTTCTAGTATATTTAAATCTAACAGCTTCTCAGAATGAAGATTGGTGACTCACATTGAATTAACAAACTTTAAAGTAGCTCTAAATTACCTTCTCATTTAAAAGTGACAATACATAATCGTGTATTCCTGACCTAAATACTTTCAGTTACATTTGATTTGATTTATTAAGTTAACTAAAAAAGGCTCATTTAACAGTTTTTTAAAAATGTAGCATAGTGTGGGATTTACCTAACTTAATTTCACTTTAATGAGATGGCAAAGGGATACCTTGGATAGATAGCTAACATACATTTAGACTATGATGTACTTGCTCTAAAAGATGGATCATTATAACATCTCCCAGAAAGAAATCTGTAAATCTCATCATAAATTATTTAAAATTTAATACAAAAGAAGGAAAAGGAATGATCTTTCAGATTTCATTGTATTACATGTTTTCCAATGTAAAGAGATGCTTCTATCACTTTTCATTTTGAACAGTTTACCACTGACTAACAAAATCTTCATTGACAAGGAGAGCTGAGATTTGTGCCTAATTTACCACTCAAAACCAAATAACAAAAAAGTTGATCTCTTCCCAAGTAAGGTATGATTTCTTTTTAGTTACTTTTATAATAGGCATTTACAGTGACCCCAATTAGGCCACTCATCTCTCTGTTAGTTCTGTATGCATACATATTACAACTTCTAAAACAAAAGTAAACTTTCTTTTTCCCAAAGAAATGCTACCCTGAAATCTTTTATTCTTCCAGACAAAATTATTTCACACAACTGTTAAAGTCCCCCTTGTAATAAAAGTGAATAAATATATTTGCCAATAACACGACTGTTATATTTCTTCAGTTTATAAATTACGCTTCATTTGGAGAAGATAATACTTTGCAAAACAATGAATGACATTGATGAATTGTTCATGGCATGTGTAAACTTAAGGTATTTTCACTTTCAAATCAGTATTTATCAAGTTTGCTGCTACCCTATATAAACATAATTATCAAACATATATTGTATTCTAACAAAACATATGTTTATAAGTATTTTGAAAAGGACTCCTTTTAAAGAAATAGTTATATTGTTAATAACATGTAAGATAAACATATCCTGCTAGACTGACCAGAGTGGATATGAGCAATCTTCTATGATTAATAAATTGGGTATTCTCCTGAACACTGTGACTCATCAAAATGAAAACAGTATTATAAAAACTGGTAAGTATATAAGAGAATAGATTCTAAAACTAGAGGAGCTACAGTGAACATTAGAATCCGATGATGTGTGTTTAAACTTTCTTGCTGCTTGGAGTTTCTTTACTTAAAAAGTTTATGTTTGGGCTCAGTAATTGACCTTGGGGCATTTGAAAACAAAACTGCTCATTGGAAAATTAGCAGTGTGAAACTTGACAATGCATGCAGAGCGTGGCAAGACCAAGTGCTTGACTACTAAATTAGCTATCACTTTAATTCCAGGCCATAGTCAATATAAAATTGATCTGTGTAATATAAAACAAACATTTCTAAAAACACCATTTGTAATGCTTGGAACTTTTGGGAGAGAAGATAATTCTTCTTACATTTGCTTTTATTCCATTATGAGACATTCCCATAGATGACCATTACGTAGCAATCCTAGTCCTTAGAATTCCAGTCTGAGTGCTCAAAATTTGTCCCTGAACCAGTTTCATATTGTTATCTTAATAAAAGAAACTGGGAGCTAATGTTTTCCTGAATACTTTATTCATGTGTGTGTGTATGTCTCTGTGTGTGTGTGTGTTTTATTTATGTTTTAGTTTGAGATATACCTGTAACCAGTTGCCTCTTCATTTCCTTTTTATTTTGTTTTGTTTTCCTCTCATGTTTGTGCTGGATGGAAATACTTTGTATTTTCACATTATCCATGTTTGGGGAAAAGAAAGATATCCTCTCCTAATGTTTGGTTTAAGGTTTTTGTTGTGGCTCTTTAATCATGAGAGAATACTAGAGGGGTTGTCATTAATTCTCTAGTGTTTAAGGTCACAAGTCAAATTCATCTCCAAGTCTCAAGCCAATTCTCATTTATGTACTTGTAGGGGGAAAAATTTTAGATTAAATTAAATTTTTTTATTGATTAAGGTACTACATATGTGTCCTCCCCTCCTTTCCCCCCCACCCCCACTCATGCCCTCACCCCGCCCTGGTGTCTGTGTCCATTGGTTAGGCTTATATGCCTGCATACAAGTCCTTTGGTTGATCTCTCCCCCTTACCCCCACCCTCTCCTACCTTCCCTCTGAGATTTGACAGTCTGATCGCTGCTTCTCTGCTCTGGATCTGTTTTTGTTCATCAGTTTATGTTGTTCATTATATTCCACAAATAAGTGAGATCATGTGATACTTATCTTTCTCTGACTGACTTATTTCGCTTAGCATAATGCTCTTCAGGTCCATCCAGGCTGTTGCAGATGATAGGAGTTCCTTTTCACAGCAGTGTAGTATTTCATTGTGTAGATGTACCACAGTTTTTTAATCCACTCATCTGCTGATGGGCACTTAGGCTGTTTCCAAATCTTAGCTATGGTAAATTGTGCTGCTATGAACATATGGGTGCATATATCCTTTCTAATTGGTGTTTCTGTTTTCTTGGGATATAGCCCTAAAAGTGGGATTACTGGGTCAAATGGGAGTTCCATTTTTAGTTTTTTGAGGAAACTCCATACTGTTCTTCACAGTGGCTGCACCAGTCTGCATTCCCACCAGCAGTGCACGAGGGTTACTTTTTCTCCGCATCCAGATTGAATTAAATTTTAATAGAAGGAAATTGGATACAAAAAAGATCTCATTTGTGAGGTAGCCCCCTTCATAATGTCATAGATTTTCTTGAGTTGCATTTTGACCAGACCTAGAGAGCAAAGTATGGAATAAAAATATCTGGGTAAAGGATGTATGATTCAAATAATGTGTTCAGATTAAGATTTAATATAGTTTCTATTTACCTGATGTTAATTGGGTACTATAAAGATAGATTTGTGCTCTTTCTAATCACATTCCCAGAAGTGTGCTTTAGTTTTGATAAATGCTTACTAATGCCAATCATAGATATTTATATTAGGGTGAGAGACTGTGAGTTTTACTTGTCATTTTAGATAAATGTCAGAGCATAATGCTGAGTGAGGACAAGATTTTTTTCCCAATACAGTAGGCTCAATTAGAGAGAGTAACCAAAGGCATCATTATAGGTAAGTTGGAGAAAGATGGTTTGGGAAGTTATAGAATTCCAGCCTATAGTTTCTGTGTTACTAGTATGATTTAGTTTGATTCCTCTGTGTTTTAGTGGGGAGGTAATTCCCACTGGGATCCAGGACCCTAATATGCAAATGAATCTAGGCAGGTAGAATTACAAAAAGCCTAGTTATTGTCTCCATCGTCATGATATTTTAAGCTGACTTACCTAAACAATTGACTCATGTTTTTCACTTCACTTTTCCAGGGAGGACCAAGCCTTACTGCATCAGTAAATTTTCTCTGGCAATGCCTTTGAGTCATCATAGATTATTATCCAAATATGGGAGAGTCAAGTACATCTGAATTATTTCATGAAGTAATGTTATTTCAGGGGAGTCATAATTCTCATTCTCTGCAAGCTATCATTCTTCTCAACTTTTTTCATCAATAGCTCCTCATTACTTTGACCTACAAACAACTGTGGCTTGCTTTTATCTCCCAGGTCCCAGCAGATCATTTTGCTAAGGAGGTACAACATACCAGATTGGTGTTCTATTGCATTTCAGTTCTGCCTTGAGAATAGATGGATGCTAGAGAGCGTTTTATGTCAGTAAGTCATTCAAACCTATCTTGCCTTGTTAGTTGACGCTCTGCAGTTTCCAGAGCTCACCTGCGG